TCGCAGCCCCCTCAGACTATCTACAAAACGTGCAGTTGGATTTGAAAGGTATTAGTTTAGTTCCTCTGAGTTCATGAAAAGAAACGCAAACAAAACAACAAACCCAAACCTATATGTAGAATTATTTTTTTTTTCTCCGTATGATTTTTGAGGTTCAGTAACTTACTCCTCAACTGATTTTGACAGTTTCTCTTACCATTCCTGTTCCTGTTTTTGCTCTCACCTGGATGAGAGTGGCAGCAGAGCAGAGGGCACCAGCGCCAAGGGAAGGGATGAGCCACAGAAGCAGCTACGCCAGGTCAGATGCTGGTGGTGGACAAATTCAGACTCAGCTGGTGGGCCTGAAGCTCCTGTTTGATACCACATATGAGAGAAAGTATATTTTACTTTATTTTTCCACTTGATAAGCTCTGGTTTTATCTTGATAAAAGAAGCCAGAACCTATCTCCTGATCAAACTAAACGGGTGCACTAGAAAAGCTTCATTCCACCTCTGCCTTCCAGCTGGGGAGATTCTTTGGTTTTCTTTTACATGTTTCTACTCTCCCCTCCTTATCACCATCCTTTCATGCCTCTACACTGTTTGGACCACTTCTGTTTGCTTCTCCACTTTAATCTGAGCTGGTTGTGTCTACAAGGCATTCTTACACAGAGAGACAAGGCTAAATCCACAGTGGGTTTGTCTTAAGTTGAGAGATTGCACCTGTTTATTTCAGAATTTATATTCTCTGACAAGAAATGGGCTAAACCTTGGCACCTCTGGCTTTATCTGGTGCCAAATGCAGTGTGTTGCAATTTGTTCAGCACTTTTTTTTCCCCTCTGTGGTTGACACCCACTGCTGTTTGTCATTTCAGCAGCCCTGGCACTGCAAGGGTTGGTGGCCTTGCAGAAAACAGCGTGGGAGAGCAAAGTTAAGGGACAACCCGGATAATCTTAATTGCACTGGTAATTAATTATACAGCAATGTCATTTCTGCCCTGGGAGATGTCGGGCTGAAATCCTGAACGACGGTGAAGTGTGTTTTTATCACTGGGTTTTGTGCAATCCGGGGTGTTCTGCAAGTCATGCCCTCCCTCCACACAGATAAAACTTGTTTCTCTGGTAGCTGGGACACGTTGCCTTGACTCAGCGTTTGTGAAAGCAGAGTCAGTCACATCTCTCTACAGTCAGAGGCAGGAGGTTCCCTCTTGTCTTTATTTCACTTTGTCATCAGCGCATTTGTTACATATTGTGGGTTCTTCTGGGTTTCTTACCTTCCCTGGGCTGGTGAACAGGGATCTAACTTGGATCTCTTTGGCTTTGGTGGCAGAAGGTCTGCTTGGGGGTCGTGGCCAGCTCCTCACAACATGACCATGGCTCTGGGCAGCAGCATGGCCAGCTCTGTTCCTTGCCCACCAGTTCCTAAATGGAAAAAACATAATGTGTTTTTTGAAGATAGGAGTTGTAGCTAAACACAGCCCTGTGTTTTGTTCTGAAAATGAAGGATTCTTGTTTTATTAGGACGTGTTCTGGGCAAAGTTCCCAGGAACTTGGTGCAAACAGCCATCTGAAATTGAGCTCCTCAACAGCCCTGCAAACCAGTGCCATCGCACGGGGAGATTAAAGCCACTTTTCCCACTTCAGCTGTTCTGCTGCTCTGTGGTTGTTGGCAGGCGGGTTGAACAAGAGGCTTTGGATAAAGTTTGAGTTTAATATCAGAAATTATGCCCAGCTTAACCTTCTGACCTCTCACTCCTTCCTCTTCTCCTTCCCTTCAAGCTGCCAGCATTTCTCTGCTCATTCTGCTCTTGCTGATTGCCCTGGCAGCTGCAGCACTGCACTGATGCAACTTCATTGTGGAATGTCTCTGGGTTATTCTCAAATCATTATGGACCCAAACCTGGAGTCTCCAAGTTCATTTGCAGGCTGATGGTCAAATAAATAAGCAGAAACAGGCCTGAATCAAATGATCAGCAACGTGAAGAACAAGATGCTCCCAAAGTCAGCGTGCTGGGCTACAGCCCATCCTGGAGAAAGTTTTGTAGGCTTAGTTCAAACCTTGGCTGTGGATTTGTACCTTGGATCAAAGTTTTGTTGCAGGCCCTTCTCCAATATAAAGCAAAGAAACGTAAAACAACAAATATCTCGTGAAATCCAAACACAATCTGCTCTATGTTATGCTACAAAAATGAATGAACTCTGCCTCCCACCCTCTCCCACTGTGACTTGCTGTGAATAAGCACTGCTCAAAGGAAACTATTGCAAGAAGTTCTGCCTCTTTCCAGCAGGAATAACAATTGAGCAAGGAAAAAAGCTGCCTGGTTTTCTCTCTGCTCTCCCAGTTAGGCAGGTACTGAGCTGATGGGGTGATTTAAGCAGCTTTGAAAGGACTCACTCAGTACAGAATTAAAGCCCAAATATTCAATTATA